TGGGATGAGACAGATCTTTGTCATTGTGGATAGGTTTAGTAAGTTTGCTAGATTAATAGCTATGCCAGAAACAGCAAAGACCGAATACGTGATCATGCTATTTAAAGAAAATTGGGTTAGAGACTTTGGACTGCCGAAGTCTATAGTCAGTGACAGGGACGTCAGGTTCACGAGTAAATTACGGAAGGCCGCTGCAGCTGAACAAGGAGCTCAACTGCAGATGACTTCTGAAAATCATCCAGAAGCTAATGGCCAGGCTGAACAAATGAACCGCGCTGTGCAACACCTGTTGAGGCACTACATCAAGCCCAATCAGGTAGACTGGGACGAAAAGCTCGCTCTAGTCGCTAGCCTATTTTAACAACGCTGTGCACAGTGCTACCGGGACGAGTCCTAACAGTCTACAACTGACATTCAAGCCTAGACTGCCCTTAGATTTCCTACTTCCAGACAACCAGACAACTGCTACACCGGGCACTCTAGAGTTCGCCTATAGATATGAACAGAAGATGCAGGAGGATGAAGAACACATGCAGAAGGCACAGGCAGCAATGATAGAGTCTGAGAATAGACACCGCCGCCCTTCTACATTTCAGGTAGGGGACAGAGTCTGGGTCAAATCTTCAGAACTGGGACAGGAGTTCGGGATATCCCGCAAACTCATGCCTCAGTACTTTGGACCTTGGGAAGTGTTAGACATAGTAGGGACAGATCCTGATGGTCCATCATATGTCATCCGTACCCCTGGTTATCTCAGAACTTACCCAGTCTTTCACGCCTCTAAGCTCGCTGCATCCAAGGAAACTGATCAGTTTCCCTCTCATCGATCCATGCTGCCCCCAACCATGGACGGAGAAGTCGACATCGATGATATCGTTGACCACAGGGAGATGCCAGTTCAAAAGCCTCCAGGAAGGGGACGTCCTCCAAAGCCAAGGCTGCAGTTCCAAGTCCACTTCAGACATCATACAGATCCGAAGGAGGACCGCTGGTTTACTCGGGAGGAACTGATGCAGACCGCTCCTCAAATCGTTGCCCGCTATGAGAAGGATGTACTGAAAGGAAAGCGCCAGATGGCTACAGATTGATCTTCGAAGAGGACTAACGAAGATATGGAGGAGGGAATGCGAGGCTACACCCGCTTAGCCCCTACGGGGCCCTATCTGCAACAAGGTTGGCCGCCCTAAGTGAAGGCAGGCACGACAGGCCCTTCGGGCCTCATTCTTCAGGGTACCCCGCAACGGGGAAATTCAGACAGTTGCGTTGCGCCAGTTGGTTGAATGAATCCAGGCCCTGGGCCGCCTGTGTAAATGAATGTGAAGCAGGCCCTGGGCCGCCTGTGTAAATGAATGTGAAGCAGGCCCTGGGCTGGATACGGGTACCGGGCCAAACACAGGCCGAAAGCAGTTGGGCTCATGCAACCACTTCAGGCCCAAGGCCTGCTCTCTTCATGACTGGGCCTGTGCCTACCGGGGCCTACCGGAAGCTTCCTGGACTGGACGCAGGCAGGCCACTTCGATATAGGGAAGGGCCTGCCTCCTCATTCGGCATTCGGGTGCCGGCTGCATGCTGTGTGAGCGCCTGCTGCGCAATCCGCTGGCTGGCTGGCACTCACGCTCTCACGGGCGAATAGGAGGGAGCACGCAGCCATAGCCAAGCTGCGCTGCTGTATGCTAGGTGAAGCGCAGGGTGGTCCTTGGGGTGCTAGTGGCATCTGTGCGGTGTGGATCGGGGTTGTGAGTGTTACGAGAGACATACCTGGTGCTGGAGCGTGCGACATTGGTCGCCATATGCT